ACAAGCTATGGCTGTAAAATAAGTTTTTTGTTTAAAAAAATCAAGTGACATTTCAGCAGTGTAATTTAATAATTAATAATTATTATTATTATTTCAGCAGTGTATGTCAAGTTCCTGATTTTTATCCAGAGTACAAACATATGACGGATTTAGCATTATAATAGTTAAATGAGTTAAATATAACAATTAATTTTAAATAATTGTAAGTGTACTGTTAATCATTAGTGTGCGTTTATGATCGTGTACCACGTGATGCACACAATGCGACTGCAACCGGCAGCCGCTCGGATTTTTTATTTGTAGTTTTTTTATATTAATATATATACTTGATTTAGTTTCAGAAGTTATGACGGAAATATTTTCAACTTTGTTCGGAGTAAATGACGCACAGCCATCCACGGGGCCAGCAGGTTTGGGTTTCGCCGCCGGTAAACCTCCACCGCAGATGCCGTCAAACCAAGCGCCGGTGGCGGCTCAGATTCCAGGACAGCTCGGGGATGAGGGGCCTACGCTGCGAAAACCCGGAGCCATGAACGAACCTTTCTATTTACTTCGAGAACTGCCCGGTAAATACGTCCGTAGTGCTTAGGAATACAGTACAGCGTGTGTGTGACTTGTACTAATGTTATGCAACTTGGTAAGCTGCAACTAGATGCATCTTTTGTGTTTGTTTTGATTCAGTTGGAAACGACCTGACGGGAAACACGAACCTCATCACGCATTATAATCTGGAACACGCGTTTAATAAATTCTGCGGCAAGAAAGTGAAGGAGAAACTGAGCAACTTTTTACCAGAGTTACCAGGTAAAGTAAATATGTTTGTTTTTGAGAAAAGGAGATGCATATTATCCACTGAATTCCATGAAAATGTTTGCCACAAATGGTTTCTTGACATAATTTTGTGACCCTGGACCACAAAACCAGTCATAATGGTCAATTTGAAAGCTGAATAAATAAGCTTTCCATTGATGTATGGTTTGTTAGGATAGGACAATATTTGGCTGAGATGCAACTATTTGAAAATCTGGAATCTGAGGGTGCAAAAAAATCAAAATATTGAGAAAATCACCTTTAAAGTTGTCCAAATGAAGTCCTTAGCAATGCATATTACTAATCAAAAATTAAGTTTTGATATATTTACAGTAGGACATTTACAAAGTATCTTCATGGAACATGATCTTTACTTAATATCCTAATGATTTTTGGCGTAAAATAAAAATCAATAATTTTGACCCATACAATGTATTGTTGGCTATTGCTACAAATATACCCCAGCGACTTAAGACTGCTTTTGTGCTCCAGGGTCACATATTCCATGTTAGTACCATGGTCAGGGTTGCCAGGTTTTCTCAGCAAAACCCACCCAATCGCTTTCCAGGGGGGATCCCCTGGTAAAAATCAATGGTAAATACACATTTTTACATTCCAGTTATTGGGGTCACATCAACCCGCGGACATTAAAAACATCCCTCGGAAAGAGTGTTAAAGTAGCCCAAATCCGTGGGAAAACCGCAGACTTGGCAACACTGACCACAGTACTGTAGTGAGTCGTGTTCTCTCTCTTGCAGGTATGATAGACTGTCCAGGGATTCAAGATGGCAGTTCTCTGCGCTCTCTCATAGAGAAACCTCCGGTCTGTGGAAACTCTTTCAGTCCGCTGACAGGAGCTCTACTCACCGGATTTCGATTACACACTGGCCCGGTAAACTAATGCACTAACACAGCGGCTGTGTCTCAAAACCTAACGAGCTGCCTATTTAGACAACATACTATCTAAAGCATTTACAACATCTTCTCAGAGCCTCATGTTTACAGTGTTTGTGTGTGTTGCAGCTTCCAGAGCAATACAGACTGATGCACATACAGCCGCCAAAGAAAAAGAGCAAACATAAAAACCGACATCCCCGACCTCAGGATCCTCTGCCACCAGGTGACACATAAACCTGATGTTTTTCACATGCACACAAACACATACGGGCATTAACTCGTCTGTGTTTCCTGTGCAGAGACCCCCTCAGATTCTGACCCCAAGAAGAAGAAGAAAAAGAGGGATGATGATCCCGATCGCAAGAAGAAAAAGAAAGACAAGAAGAAAAAAAAGGTGAGTGACTCACAGGGCAAGCCTTAAAACAGTCCAAATGACTGAATAAGATTGGACTTAGAGGACAGACTATATCATTTTTAGAGAAATAATAGAATATGAAATGCATAAACTTTGGAGATAAATTTAAAGGGACAGTTCACCCAAAAATTATAATACTGATAATAATCGTCGTTGGCATAATACACGTTTTTTTTTGTGGCGGGGTTCCCCTGGTACAATTTGCATTCCAGGGGCTAAATATCACGTTATTGGGGTCGCTTCAACCCACGGCAACAGTGTTTAAGTAGCCCAATTCCGTGGTAAAACGGCAGACTTGGCAACACTGATGCCATTGTGTTCTGTGAATGATTTTGACTGATTTTAAAACATCTCTGGTTTCTCTGTATTGTCTTTTTCTCTTAGAATCGACACAGTCCTGATCACCCTGGTCTTACTGGATCTCAACCCAACAGTAACAGCCTGAGATAGAACCACTGTGTGAGTGAGTGAGTGAGAGTGTGTGTGTGTGTGAGAGAGAGAGAGAGAGAGAGAGAGAGAGAGAGAGAGAGAGAGAGAGAGAGAGAGAGAGAGAGAGAGAGAGAGAGAGAGAGAGAGAGAGAGAGAGAGAGAGAGAGAGAGAGAGAGAGAGAGAGAGAGAGAGAGAGAGAGAGAGAGAGAGAGAGAGAGAGAGAGAGAGAGAGAGAGAGAGAGAGAGAGAGAGAGAGAGAGAGAGAGAGAGAGAGAGAGAGAGAGAGAGAGAGAGAGAGAGAGAGAGAGAGAGAGAGAGAGAGAGAGAGAGAGAGAGAGAGAGAGAGAGAGAGAGAGAGAGAGAGAGAGAGAGAGAGAGAGAGAGAGAGAGAGAGAGAGAGAGAGAGAGAGAGAGAGAGAGAGAGAGAGAGAGAGAGAGAGAGAGAGAGAGAGAGAGAGAGAGAGAGAGAGAGAGAGAGAGAGAGAGAGAGAGAGAGAGAGAGAGAGAGAGAGAGAGAGAGAGAGAGAGAGAGAGTGTGTGTGTGTGTGAGTAAATGAATGTTGAACAGTGTTAGAGACCCTGATATGGACCAGTGTGTTTGAATGATGTTTACAGAGACTGATTGTTGAAGATTTCTGCCATTTTTCTTTTTGGTTGTAAAGAAAACCTGAATGAATAAACTTTATTCTTTACACATGCTGTAAATGAGTTTTTTCCACAGCATGACTCGACTGGCAACAGGCCAAATACGTAACAAGAAGTTATATCTTGTACATGACTTTAGAATAAACAAGCAAAATATAAATCTTTATAATAGTTTATGCGGCATGGGCGTCTGATCACTTTTTGTTAAAGACACCTGCATGGAAAACCAGATGTCAGGGGATTTTGTGTCCAGACCTAAAAGAGTAATGAAAAGTAATAAATTCTTAAAAAGTCACAAATTGTTGTAGAAGGTCAACTTTTAAGTGAGTGGAAACTAATAAAGCATCTTTTCAAACCCTTGTCCAGTCAGGAGAGGGCAGTGTTGAACAAAGAAACCACAGTCAAAAGCCTTTGTTGTTGTTGTTGTAATGTGTAGTGTTGCATACCATTCCTTTCCAAATTAATTTCCTGTTCCTGTGTGTGGAAATATGCTAAATAGTTTGTGAGAAAACTCTCTCTCTGGAAATAAAAAGGTGCAAAAGCTGTCGCTGGGTTGGTACCTTTCTTTGTACCGTTTTTATCCCTAAAGATGCATATTAGTACCTTAAAGAGTATGCATTATTACCTAAATTGTATATTTTAGTACTTAAAAGGTGCAATTTAGTAGCTTTTGAAAGGGTGTCATTGCAGTAACAGCTTCTGTGCCTTTCTTTCTGAGAAAAAAAAATAGATAAATATTGTCAGGGATAAGTTTTCTAACATAAAAACTGGCAAAAAAGAAGGTCTCAGAATAACTAGTACTAATAGTAATGCAAAAAAATTAACAGGGCCTTTTCGGGAAAACATTTCTGACCTCATCACGGGGACTGGGACAGCCTTGTCTCCCAAATACATTGGTGGTTGAGATGTCTGAATCAGCTCAGTAAGAGCTAGTGAAGTCACTGATAGGAAACACTGTAAACAGCACAGACTTTACTACGGAATCGGCTCCCTCGAGACACGGACAAAACAAAAACACACAGCATGTGCGGTTAGGCCAGAATGACAGCATTCCCTGCTCGCTGCAGTTTCAGACGGAGAATCTGCTGCTTACTATGTCTGGAATCTGCAGTTTGTGAATGAGTGAAGATGCCAATACAGAGCCTTTTTTTTTTTTTTCTTCAGTGGATGATTTATTAAACTCTGTCATTATTTCTGACCTGTCATGAGAAAACAGCAAGTTTCAAATATTTCGACCGATTTATTAATTATAATGATGGTTACAAAAATTGAGCGTAACAAAAATGAGTTTTTTTGTTCATAAACTGCTCCAGATTTAGTATAAAGACATGCACTTGTACCCTTGTTATGACGGCAGGAATTCAAAGTTTAAAATTTTTGTTTATAATTTCATATTTTCATTCATGGTTCTTTATTCACAGTGCAGATAACACTATTTTTGTATTTGCAATTCCCATTTAAATGCATTTATTATATTGTGTAAATGCGTTTTTGACTCTATATGCCTTATTTTTATAGGCAGGTTTGTAATTAATTATTATATTTTTTTTAATAATTGTACCTGAATAAAACAAGTGTTGGTGTTGTTAACTAAGACTATTAAAAATCTTGTCCACTGACTGAAATAAGCCACAATAAAATAAAATGTAAATATTAGATGAAAAATAAAAAATGCAGGCAACTAAAACAACTTCATTTACTAAAAATAAAGCTAAACAGAAATACAAAGGCACAAAAAACTTGAACTAAAATAAAAGCTAATATAAAATATTATTACATACTATAATAGAAATACAAATACAACACTGCATAAAGTATTGAATCTCCCATAGTTTTTTTTTTTTTTTTTTTTTAAATTGCAAGCACCACCAGATGAAGACATGCTTCAAGTGAACTCAATCAAGACTCCAGTGAACAATGCAGAGTAACAGTTTGCATATTTTATTGTTTTTGGTGCTTCAAATCTAATATTCTTGCACTCTGGATGCTTTCTTCCTCTCACACATTCTCTTCTGATCTCATATGGCTTTATTGCATCCATACGGCTTTGGTTTCCCACATTTCTCTCACGGTGAGATTTGAATTGTGACATTCAATAATAACACAAGGCACTAGTTTCACACAAAACATTAATCTGAAAGAGAGACTGCTGTAAGCACATCATCAGTTCCTCTCCTGACCTTTAAAAAACCCAATTAACCCACTCTGATTCCTGCACATTAAAGCAAATATGAATACACATCATGCTATTTACAGAGAGCACGTCTACTTTAAGCTCCACGATAACAGAAATACACAAATACGTTTCCCTTCCAGTGCCTATATGAAACTAAAATGCACCGAAAAATCGGAATAGACACACAAACATTCATTTCTGTTGCTTTATAAAAATCTCGTTGAATCTGCCTGAAATGTTTTAGCTTTGGGATAACACTTAACGTAGTGAACCGAAGGTTTATAAAGCTCCATTAGCAGTGTCTTTGGTGGCAGCTGAAAAGCTCCTGTTGATTGTTTCCGAAGTTTCCGAAAGACAGAAAAGCAGACACTATTATACAACAATCATCACTCTTTCTCTTTGGTGAACAGACAGCCACAGAGGTAGTCCATCAATCACAGCCATGTGCGTGCAGTCCAATAAATATCTCTCTAAAAAACCATTGCATTCGCTTCGCAGGCAGACTTCTAGATTTTCAAGACGAATACTCATATTTTGAGACAGCCGATCATCGAAAGAGACAATACTGATCTGATGCTGCTTTCACAGCCATCAGCCTAATGTCTCTCATACAACAAAAAACGGAAAAGCTGCGTGTTTAAATGAGGGAAATGAGCGTGCTGAAATGTGAAGAGTCCCGTGACAGTCCCGTGATGCTCTGTTATTGAGTTAGGCTTCCTGCGGGACGTGACCGTTGGTCAGCGGCTGGTTTAGAGCTTGATTCTCAACAGGAGCGAGTCCGTTCGCTTTTCCTCCGGCCTTCGTCTGAAGAAGGTGTCTGCGATGGTAGAACAAATACCCCGGCAACAGGAAACCGGCCAATGAGAGGACCAGAAGCCCCACATTGATCTGATGGGATAAATTTAGCATCTTATTAGTCATTGAAAATACCCATAAACAGAAGCCTACATAGGCAGCTATACCTTTCAAGACAGCATCCAGCTGTGTAATGGCTACTACATTTGTGACCCTGGAGCACAAAACCAGTCAGTTTGTAGTAATAGCCAACAATACATTGTATGGGTCAAAATTATCAATTTTTCTTTTATGCCAAAAATCATTAGGATATTAAGTAAAGATCATGTTCCATGAAGATATTTTGTAAATTTCCTACTGTAAATATATTAAAACTTAATTTTTGATTAGTAATATGCATTGCTAAGAACTTCATTTGAACAACTTTAAAGATGATTTTCTCAATATTTAGATTTTTTTGAGATTCCAGATTTTCAAATAGTTCCAAATATTGTCCTATCATAACAAACCATACATCAATGAATTGAACAAAATTCAATTAAAAAAATTGACCCTTATGACTGGTTTTGTGGTCCAGGGTCACATTTGGTTTCAATCTTCACGACTGTTAAAAATCATGTTCTCTATAGTATTATTATAATATTTTATTGATACAGTTTGGAGTCTAATTTTAGAAAAAAAGAAATGTATTATTTTATTCAGCAAGGATGCGATGACGGTAAAGACAATACATAAAATAAATTTTAATTAATTAAGTAATTAAATTTAATAAATTTAAAATAAATCCTGTCAACATGAATAAATCAGCATATTAGTATGATTTCTGAAGATCATGTGACACTGAAGACTGGAGTAATGATACTGAAAATACAGCTTTGATCACAGGAATAAATTACAGTTTAACATATTAAAACAGCTATTTTAATTTGTTATAATGTTTCACAATATTATGTCCTTTTTAACAAAAAAAAATGCAATCAGTTCAATTAAAGAAAAAAAAAGTATCTTGTGCATCTCGATCATTTTAAACAGTATTTCTAGTTATCTTACAGTGAGTGCACTCATCTTAGAAGATCAGTTTGCTGCTTGCAACTGAAATGTTGTCTAGTTAGGTAGCTCACTTCATTTTTAGTTCTAGCTTTAAATATGAACTGCTGAGAGGAGAGTACAACCAAACACTGTGTAACACAGACTACCGCAGCAAGCCTAGTGTTTGTTACTCCATCATTCTCGTTATGTGCTAAATTGAGCATCCCACAGAATCCCAATGCAGCGCTCAGGATCAAACGAATATATTTGTTGACAATTTATGTTGACTAATCTTTCCAGTCCTAAATACAAAAGATACAAATATGCATTTCTTACCCAGTAAGCATCTCCGTTCAGAGTTCCCAACATAACCATGAAGAGAGGCTGCTGCAGCAGAGCCACCACTGCACTGATCATAGACTGCAGCCCGGTTAGTGTGCCAAAATGATTAGACGGGTACCTGTGAGAGAGAGACATATGTGACCCTGGAGCACAAAACCAGTCATAAGGGTCCATTTTTTGAAATTGAGATTTATGCATCATCTGAAAGCTGAATAAATAAGGTTTCCATTGATGTATGGTTTGTTAGGATCGGACAATATTTGGAACTATTTGAAAATCTGGTGCAAAAAAATCTAAACATTGAGAAAATCGCCTTTAAAGTTGTGCAAATGAAGTTCTTAGCAATGCATATTACTAAGTTTTGATATATATACAGTAGGACATTTACAAAATATCTTCAAGGAACATGATCTTTACTTAATATCCTAATGATTTTTGGCATAAAAGAAAAATTGATCATTTTGACCCATACAATGTATTGTTGGCTATTGCTACAAATATACCCCAGCGACTTAAGACTGCTTTTGTGTTCCAGGGTCACATTTAGTTTGTCTCAAGTCTGCACACTTCTTAATACTGAGATTGTAATGAAGCGCTGTGGCATTAAAAGGACAGGTCAAAGGCGTATGTGTGATTTGGTTATAATCCATGTTACTGGGTCTGAGTTTTACACACACTCTGCGCTATACTTCACACACAAACAGGGCAAACCTGATCCAGTCAAGTGCAGCTTTATAACCATCTGATTTGATAAGTCTGTACTTACCAGTGCGATTGAACAACAGGTTTAGAGGAAGCCAATAAACAGATACTTGAATGTGTGTACTGTATATGTGTTTATACTCACACAGCAGCATACAGTCCTCCACAACACGAGTGAATGAAACCTCGCACCATAGTGTGCAAAATAAACGTCAGAATCTGGACAAAGAGAGCAAGAGTTACAAGCACATTCCCATCTACTGTAATTAAGACCGTTCTTACACAAGTACACTCGTACCAAAGATAGGGCTCAGTAAGATTTAAAGGGGTCATATGATGCGATTTCAAGTTTTCCTTTCTCTTTGGAGTGTTACAAGCTGATTGTGCATAGATAAGATCCCTGAAGTTGCAAAGACTAAAGTCTCAAAACCAAAGAGATATTCTTTATCAAAGTTAAGACTCTGCCACGCCCCCCTAAAACGGCTCGTTCTAACACGCCCCCACATATCTACCTCACTATGTGGAAATATTTGCGTAATGCGCCCAAATGTTCACGCAAAGAAAGAAGGCGTGGTTTCAGTAACCGCAGTTAGTGTTGAAGCAGCCATGTCAGGGAGACGCTGTGTGTTTCTAGGCGAAAGCAAAAGCACTTTATTTGGCCTTCCAGAAGTAGATGCATTTTAGGAATCTTTAAGATTACTTACAACAGAACAGCAATGCATTTTATGGATGACCGTTTCGTGAACCTAGGAGAGGAGGTAATTCTGACTTTGCTATGACAATCTGGCGCTTCTGAATCAGCTACTGTTTTGTTATTAGTTTAAGTATTTGCTATTGATTGTTCAAATGCGGAGTTTTGCGCATCGTGTGTGTGTGTGTGTGCGCGACTCTGTTCCCCTTTCGGGCTCTGTCTTTATATTTATTTTGAAAGATGAAGCTCGCGATTATGGTAAGGGGTGTTACATTTCCGACGAGTGCTTGCGGTGTTCGGTCAATCACAATGCACTGGGTTAGCTGGCCAATCAGAGCAGACTGTGCTTGTCGGAAGGAGGGACTTTGTAGAAAACGAAGCGTTTGAGAGAGGCGGGGCATAGAGGAATGTACAGTATGTACAGTATTTGAAAAATAATGTGTTTTTTGAACATTAAAGCATGTCAACATATTCTGTTACACCAAATACACCAAATAATGATCTTTAAAAAAGCATCATATAACCCCTTTAACAAAAAAACAAATTAAAAAAAAAATAATTTTAAGGCCCATTCACACCACAAACAATAACTAGTATTGTTCTGTTTATTACAAGCGTGCACTGCATTCATTAATCAGCTGAAAACAAAACAAAACAAACAACATCATTCCTCTGTGCTTTCACTGTAATATCTGTCACGTTGACTCTGCTATTCTTTTGTATGTTCAGAACGATTTTTAAAACTATATCTTTATAGGGTAACACTTTGTTTTAAGGACCAAATCTTACTATTAACTAGCTATTAGCATGCACATAACTAGTTACAGTATTACTGACACTACCCAATACCTGAACTTAACAACTACTTTACAAACTATTAATAAGCAGCATATTAGGAGTTAATTGTGGCAAAAGTCATACTTAATAGTGAGAATTGGTCCCCAAAACTAAAGTGTGACCCTTTATGGTTATAGTTATCATCCTTGGTGTGAACAGGCCTTTATTAAGCAAGAATGGATCAAATTAATACAAAGACATGTAGAATTGCTGTCAAATAAATGCTGTTCTTTTGAACTTTCTGTTTCTGAAAGAACCCCAAAAAAACTGTATCATGTTTTTCACAACAATAGTAAGCAGCACATCAGTTTTCAGCATTAATAAATGTTTCGGTTTTGCCATCACAGGGAAAAAAATCATTTATTCATTCATTAAAAAAAAAAAAAAAAAAAAAAAAAAAAAAAAAAAAAAA